TGGTGGCCCCGGCCCACCGCTAGTGTCGAGCCCTTTATGTAAACAGAAACGCACATGTGAATTGAAGTACAATGTTAGTGAAGAGAATTATAGATCAAAAACCTAGAATAGTCCTATCATACCCAGTGCCTGAAATGGGGGCCAGCCGAAGGTTGGCTCCAAATTTTTTTTGGGGGGGCGAGTAAATTTGTTGAGTCACTGGCCCAAATGCATTGTTGGAGGCTGAAGGCCCAAATTTTATACAGCAGCGCATCTGAGCCAGTGCGCATAGAGCAAGTGCGTGTGATCTGAGCGGGCTCAGCTAGGCACCCTGATTCTCACCGGTCTCACTGCTAGCATAATTTATCCATTACTATGCCACACTAGCGTTATACAGCGGGCATAGCATACAAGCGTATAAGCAAGCGTGGGCTCAGGTCAGCGATACATGTACATAAATGTGATGTTATACATTGTATCAAGCTAGCCAGACAACGCATCTAGACATGTATGTTTGCAGTGTACATAGCGGGAGAGTCGAAGAGTACCAGTCTACCCCGCCGTCAGCAAGCTCGGTCAGAACGAAAGTGCGCGAGCTTGGTCTGATTGTATCATAGCGTGGACTCTGGTTTAGGATTATGATTAGTTAGGCCAAACAAAAAAATACCTTTGGTTCGGGTCACATGGATTGTAAAAATTAGGGTAGGTAGGTAGGTATATTTTTATTTTTATTTTTTTTTCCTGCAAAAACATGGGTAGGCAGGAATATAATTTTTTTTCTTCACAAGTTAGGAATATATAGGAATATAATTTGAACGAGTGAGTAACCGAAGTATGGCGCAGCGCGTTCCACAGCGTGTGCGCATACAAAATGCATCGATCTGTGGCGTGTGGAAAATATCACACGTGTTTGATATTTTCTTCTACGTGTGGAAGATTGAACAGCGTCTGCGGAGTGGCTGTGTAAAGTTCCACACCGTCTCTATGTAACCGACCAATAGCAGGAGGTCAAGCGAGTCACGTGATCTTAACTTGCGGTTGCAGCGCGACATTGATTGATGCACAGCGGGGTGGGGCATTGTTTAAGTCACGTTCATTGAATATGTAGGGGGTGACCACTGCTGGGATGAGCCTGAGGGCGACAGTAAAACTCTTTCTTGGAATTGTGAAAAAGCTGCAAAAGGGTTGTAGCCTGCTTTGCCACTCAATTACATAACTTAACCCATGCATCAGGTGCCGTTTTGTGCAGCCGCGCGACTATTATACTTGGCAGTAATTAATTGGTATATGTGTAATACAGGGCTCGAATTAAGCGACGAGAAGGGCAAGGCAATTTTTTTTAGGGCATGTGAGAAATCGCCTTGAATTTTCTCTAAAATAGAAAGGCACCAAGGCAACTCTCAATATTTGAGAAGGGCACCAAGGCACTTTTGTAAAATAAAGGAAAACTCATAACAAATTAGTACATCAACATCGTCTTGCTTTTAATGTACAAAACAATTAATATGCCCCCATGTAAGCTTACGCCGAAACCCCGACCCCTGTACCTACCTCTG